AGATTTATGCGGTAAATTCGTCAAAACTATCTGGTAAAATCGATGCATGGGATTTAATTATTAAACGATTTAACGATAGATTGAAAACCGAATATCGAAATGGTTAATGGAAGAAAATGGTGCGATCGACGGAATAAAGGAACTTGACCTTACAATTAACTCCATTTACTAGTTTAAGAATAAATCGTTTCGTAAACTGAAATTCACGAATCTACGAAACTAGTAAAATCGAAGTATAAAAATCAAGAACTCAAATATCAATTCGATTGAAAGAACAATCTATATTTGAGAAAGTAAAATCCACTATATCGCGATCAAGTGGATAATATCTGAAATTAGCATGAATTAAAGCTGCCCTTGAACTGGAAACGAAGATCTGGTCGTTAACCTAATAGCGAAGAAATTGTTGCGCTATTTATTGCTTTCTAATTGTACGCGTCATTGTGTGCATTCGTAAAATACTCGGCAACTTGGAAACACCGTGACGCAACCACGTCAGCGTTATTGTGTTCTCTTACCTACAATTATTATCTTATCGCGACATTCACCTTTCCCGGTGTTAAGTATAACCTCTTTGCAAGACGCGAGACTATGAGACCTTGAATAGTATTAGTAGCATTACTCTGTAATATTAATAGCATTATTAATAGCATTACTTTTAAATTCCTTGTTTCTCGATATTCCTTATCTGTACATATTATTGCTATATAATATATATATTACATTATGACATATAAAATTCATTTGGTGCATGAAGGGATAAAATCCCAAATAAATATCGAATCGAAGAATTTCAAAATTAAAACTGCGATTAATTACAACTTTTAATTAGTTACATGTTTGATTCGTTAAATATTTGTTTAATTTTTTAAAGAGCTTTATTAGGGTACTATTTAATCATTGTGAATTCCCAGATTTCAAGCTATAACTATTATATGTATATATATATAATGGAATATTGTATAGTTAGAAAAACGATGCTAATTACGCGTATTACGCTTATTTCTTAATAAAGAATAAAGTTATTTGTTAGTTAACAGAACGAGTTAATAATTATTGATTATTTAGTATCCATTATATTCTCAGCAACTTTCTCGAATCTATTCGATATCGACTTATAAATTATTACGCATACGCGAATCGATCTGTGGGATTCATGAAGCGTAACATTATAAATTAACGTTTCGTAGATTGTACGCTAGTTAATCACAGGCGATTATGTTAATGAGAATCTGTTAATCAACGAGTTACATTAAGCAGATAGTAGTCAAATAATTTGTTGCCTCTGTTTACACATCGAACGATGGTTGAAAGTAAAAGTTCTAATCATTCTCAATGGAAAGTGATCGAGATTGTAAACTTACGTATCGTGATATTTACATTGCATTATTTAAATTACATATTAATTTTGTACTACTGTCTGTTTCCCGCAAAAATGATCACGCTTTTATGTTAACTAGAAATACAACATCCTGTATAATAATATTTTATATTTATGTCTATTACTATAATTTACTTTTTATGTTGTATGTATTTTTTATGGAATAATAAGTCACGTGAATCGAAGGAATGGTAATTCTAAAAATGACTAAACGGAAAAGATAAGAAATTGAATAAAATTCTCCTGTAAAGGATATAACGAGTCACTCTTTGATAGTCTATCTTTTAGGATGTAATTTTCAAGTTACAACGATTAAGCGTTCGTTGTTTCTCCAAAGTTGCTAGTAAATAGAGCTTGAACGAATCTTCGCGTTTCCCATCGTACTTGCCGCAATCTTTGGTCGATTGTACGCAATCGCATTTTCCAAAAATGTGTAACTTCTACTATGAAAAGTTCCTTATTATTTTCATCGAAGGAAACTGCTGGAAAATAAAAGGAAACTAAACCGAGTAATGCGATATTCGTTACGAAAGAGCAAGGGCAAACACCATCTTTATACGGTAATTTATGGCAAAATGAGAAATCGCGATCCGTCACGCCAAGTTTTACTACTTATTCTTCGATGGTTCGATATATTCGAGGATTAATTTCATCTTCGTTTATCGTATTTGTATCATAGAACGTTATTACCTCGGCGTTTTTCGTACAATGTTATATTTCCAACAGAACGTGACCGTACGTATCCGTAAATCCAGTGAAGTGAGGAGGAGAAAGTATAAAATGGAGAACGATCTTATCTCCTGACATATGATATTTTAGTTTACTATCCCTTCCTCCTTTTAACTTGCTTCCAGTCAAACTAGACTCGGGAAAATTAATTTAGAATTCAATTTATTATAATTTATCGCGAATATCGTTGGAGCAGAAACGGCGAAATGTCGAAAGACGTAGAAACGATGAATCGAATTTCAGAAAGAGCGCAGCGCGAATCGAAGAAAGATCGGCTGTAACTGACAAGAGAGGAAGGAAAACTTTCTCGTTACATCGCGGCTGGTAATTAGCACGCAAACTGCAATCTTTTGTCTACGATCAACGCTATAATCCTCCTATTACGAATCATCGATAAACATTTGGACGGAAATCTTGGCTTGAAATTCGACAGACACGCCTAGAGAAACTCGGAACAGTTTCATCGGTAATCGTAAAATATTTTTAAAAGTAGTATAAATCTAATAAACGAACGAGAAGATTTCTCTCCTCGCGTCATTGCCGCATAAATGTTTAACGACTTTTCGAGAGGACAATTTCTTGTAGTAAAAGTTGTATTTAACAATGTTGTATTTATTAGGTAATCTTCGTCGAATAAGAGTATAAGATTTATATCGCAATAATGCAATGCCAGCGATGATTTATGAAGCTACCGTGTTAAATCATACTGATGAGAAGAATTCTTCCGATAATGTATTATACGTATATACAATGGTATTGGCATTGAGGGAAAGAAAGAGGCAATAGAATAAATTTCTATATACGATGTGACTTAAATTGTCGACTTTAGTAACTGGCTGTATCGCATAAAAAATCGCATTTCATCGTACCTTGGAATACTTAGTTCTAGAAATATGCATGTTTCGTATAGAAAAAAGAAAGGAAATATTTTTTAAGTCGTTCCTTCCACATCCCTCGTTGCTGCGTCATACCGTAAGAAGATTAGATCCGATTACGCAAATGGCGAAACGAAACTGGAACAGCAAATCGGTCGATCGACCGTCCCGTTTCCAAGTCGTAGCGCGAAATTCGCGGGAGGTCGGTGATATTTATTGAAAATCGCGCAAATAAAAGAGGCAAGACCCCGTAACGAGCATTTACGGTGATACTAGCCAGCTGGATGCCTGTGCAGCGTATTAATCGTTAAAAACTATCGGTCTATCTCGCGGCAGGATCGAAATGGTAGTGGCGCATGCGATCCTATTAACATACGGCATTAGGTATTCCGCATGCGAAGCGACCGGCGAGCTTTGCTCGGATTTCTGCGGCAATTACACGCGCCTAATGGTCGCCCCTTGCGAACACGTCGACGCACCGTGTGCGCGAAACTGCGCTTCGAGTTAACGTTATCCAAAGATAAGGGGTTATATGCGGATTAACAAGCACGCTCACGATACACGAAACACACCTGGATCCTCTCCAAACTCGATTCGATTCCGATTTCAATTTTCCTCTGGGATTTTCATCGAATTATGGACGAGCGCGATTACCGAATAGACAGAATCGACGGTGAGAAGAAGCGGTGGACTTTTCGATATCTCTTTATAATTTCTAATTAGAACTATGAATCATAGTTACATAGCAAATCGATATAATACAACGCTTTACTTGTTACGCTTTTCTAGATAGGTAGAATTAAGTTCAACGAAGTAACGAAGCCTCTTAAGATATTGGTAAATTTATAAAAATTTATAAAAATTCGCGTTTCTTCATTTGCGTTTCGTAATATCGCTTCCTCGAAATTGATATTGATCGAAATTTCTGACGATACATCGATGTACGAGAAAAGATTCGCGAACAAGATCGCTTTGACCGAACACCGAGGACAATTTGTTTCGATAGGAAATTTTCTTGTAAATTGCAACGATTTCCGATAGTTGGTAAATATAACGCAATGCTCGACGGTTCCAGCAGGCTTCCTAAATCGTCTGGAATCGCATCGGAAAAAGCAACTTTCGACGACACGTTCGGATACGAAGGAGAATTAGTTACATGGACGTTGCTCTCGCTAGTAATCAACCATGCGGAAGTATGGCCGATCACGAGGACACACGAGGAGTCGACGCGTTCCAGATTTTCACGCTGGACGAAGACGAGGAAATCGTGCTACTGGCGTCGTGAGAATCATGGTTGCGTGAACGTCAACTTCCTTCAATTTACCTCACGCCGGTGTTCAAGACGTAATAACGGCCGCATTTCATTTACGATGACACGCTTGCCTTAAATAATCAAAAACCCATTAGATGCACGCTCGTGAAGCGTTTCGAAAAAGTAGGTCACGATTTGATAATTCTTATTGCGGAGAAAAATTTGAGTTAAATGGCGGAGGAAAAGCTTTCGGTGCAGAAAGACGGAGAAAAGAAACGAACGATGCGATCGAAGCGTCACTTTCACGAAGTAGCGACAGTTTCGGGACACTTTGGAGATTTTAAAGAGTTTCGCTGAAAATATCTCTCGAACGCGTAAAATATATTTACGAAATGAATTTTAAATTGCTCGAAACAATACGCGAGGAATCGCGGAATTGTCACAATTTTCACAAAACAAAAATTTCACTATCGCATTCTAGCGGTATACCATCGTCGCTCAAAGTTAGATATCAAACTCAAGGACACAAATTGTATTCCATACAAATTTCTCATAGTCGAACAACGCTGAAAATATGGCGATGCTCGCGATTAATTATTCACCGAAGGCGAAACAACGAACCGAACGGCAGCGTTCTGTGTAACTATGCGTTATCTTAAAAGCTATCTAATGGAACAGTTTCCACGGATCGCGTTCGAAATAGTGGTAGATCACCGCGCGATTAGAGGCGGACTCGCGCATGGACTACTCAATTTCCCGTACGTTATCCCGGCACTGACGCGAACACGTTTTTGCAAATGCAAAACAAGACGCACAACTATAATACGGACGATGAGGTGCAGCGAAAGTAACCGAGCTATTATGCCGCTGAGTATATAAGGCTCGGTCTAGAAAACGAAGCGGTTCAGTTAGTGGTTATACGCCACATCAAAACATACGCGAACTCGACGATGAATATCAAGGTAAGCGACTCTGCTTCCCGAAAATGCTTAAAATCGGAGGCAGGTCTCCGTCGTGCTTGTCCGAGTTTCGGTAGAATTTGCAAAGTGTACGGTTGGTTTCGCGAAAGTCACCTCGAGTGTATTTCGTCGTTTGATTCGATATTATTTTCAAGAAGGTAGAGTCATTTTAATTGCGACTAGACTTAAATTTACTTGAACTGCGCTTAAATTGCGCCGCGAGTCGAGCTTTGATAAAAAGTTTTGCGATCTTTGGCAGCTTCAAAAGTACGTATTTCGAGTGTTTCTATGTATAGCGAGAACGTTCTTTGTAACGGGTCTAGCCATGTGAATTCTTATTTTGCTATTTACCTTTTTATCGAACGATCGTATCGGAATTTAGAGAAAAAACAATTTGTGGAACGGATACGAGCAAAGAGAATTAACAACTAGGAAGCCAAATTCTTCCAATTTCCTATTCCGTCATTAGCGTAGATCGCCCATGGCTTATACAAAGACTATTATATACTTTTACGCAATATGTTTGAGTCCAACGGAAATTTAATTTAATAAGGACGAGACTGATCGATAAGCCACAACCGAGTCTGCGAAAGTCCGCTAACCACTTTCCATCTCCTTCCAAACCTCCGAATGTCAATCCGAAGAAAAATCTCGTCGCGAACGTAGAACGGTGACGTCGTCCAACTATACTTTCCAATGGAATTGCAAATTAATTCATCGTTCCCAACTTTCACTCGCAGTTGGCCATCGTCCTGGTGGCATTGGCCACGCAAGCTAGCTGCTCGGAGAAGGCAGCTGAGGAGAGCGCGTCACCGAAGGACTCCGTAGCCGATTCTTCGGAGAAGAAAACGGAGAAACGAGGATTGCACGGTAGCTACGGCGACCTGGGTGGCGGAGGAGGTGACCTGAGCGGGGGCGGTGTTTCCAGCTACGATCAGCACGAGCACGTGAAGGCGGTGACCGTGGTGAAGAAGGTGCCAGTGCCGTACGAAGTAACCAAGCACGTGCCTTACTTGGTGGAGAAGCATGTCCCGTACGAAGTGAAGGTCGGCGTACCCCAGCCTTACACCGTGGAGAAACACGTTCCTTACCCGGTGAAGGTGTTCGTGAAGGTGCCGGTACACGTGCCGCAACCGTACACCGTTGAGAAGAAGGTGCCTTACGAAGTCAAGGTACCGGTGGACAAACCGTACGAGGTAAAGGTGTTGGTGCCGCAGCCGTACACCGTGGAGAAACACGTACCTGTGCCCGTTAAGGTACCTGTCCCGCAGCCGTATACCGTCGAGAAGCACGTGCCGTACCCGGTGAAGGTCAAAATTCCGGTGCCGCAACCGTACCCAGTCGAGAAGCCGATACCGTACGAGGTTAAGGTACCAGTGGACAAACCGTACCCGGTCACTGTGCCCAAACCGTACCCAGTCACCGTTGAGAAACCATACCCGGTACAGGTAGACAAGCCGGTACCCTACGAAGTTAAGGTACCAGTGGACAAACCGTACCCTGTGCCGGTAGAGAAACCTTACCCTGTCCCGGTCAAGGTACCAGTCCCTCAACCGTATACCGTCCACAAACCGGTACCAGTCGCGGTCCCAAAGCCTGTACCCTACCCTGTCAAGGTACCGGTAGACAAGCCGTATGTCGTCGAGAAGGAAGTACCTGTACCGGTAGAGAAAGAGGTTCCGGTACCGGTGAAGATACCTGTGCCAGTACCGATTCACGAGGGACACGGAGGCAGTGGCGGCGGCGGCGGCGGTGGCTACGAAGGATTGTCTGGATACGGTGGAGACAGCGGCGGATATTTCTCTCATCATCGTTGAATTCTTTCGCCGATCGAGACGATTTCTTCGAAATGTTAAGATTTTTCATATACGCGCTGCTGGATCTCTGGGCAATCGTCTCTATCTCTTCGCGAATTTAAAGCCGAAGAAACGCACCGTCGACGAAATTCAACGTTTCGATCGTCTCTTCTTTCTAGTATATATTTTTATTTTTGGAAAGGAATAAAGAGGTATCGGGAGCATCTCGTTGTCTCGCGTCGTTGAGCACGATAAAGTGCGAAACGGGGAGAGAGAACGAGGTAAACCGTTCCCCAAGCTTCTCGTAGCTAGTGCTTCTCTCAAGCGTAACCTGTCTTTCAGATTTTTAGGTAACTTAGGAGGATGCTCGTAACTGGGTGATATTAGCGATTTCTTCGTGACAGCGTGTTCGTTCGATCGACGTACCAATTTCCTCCGATCGATACGCTTTCGATGCGCCAATTAGTTTCGATCGAAGAGATGGGTTTAAGGGAAGCCCAGGCGAAAATTTTCCTTTCTCTAGATTTCGCTCGACATCTTTCGTATCCGTCGATTAGATTCTTCAGCTCCATCTTGCCAATTCGATAACGAACATTCGAAGAGAACCAGAATACTTTCAGTGTTGAAACGCATTTTCCAAATTTATATATCGATCTCGCGATATTTAGCGAGATAGCACGATTTAGCTAAAAAAACACGAGCCTTCTTAAAAATCTAAGAAATTTTAAACGAAAAGAATTCGTAGAATGACGTACGATAGTTCTGTTTGATTTGACGCGCAAAATTTCTTGGAAATCGTCCATGTAAAAATTCGCTAGTTCTGTGTCTATGTTTAAGCTGTTCCAAAGAAAACACTAACATTAACGGCGTTTAAGCGAGCTTTACGAGCATAAGTTAGCCGATGTGAAATAAACGCCGCCACGTAATTACGATTTCGTTGCGGCGAACCACTTTTGTACCTAATTTAAGTTAAGAGTGAAATAGAGTGTCTTTTTGTATCAAAGATTTTTAATAAATACTCGTCTGTCATCTGACACCATCGACTTTTATTTTCTTCCTTGTTATTCGAGTTGTTTTAGTCTCGACGGGTTACGCGAGTCTTCCGTTTCCTATCGAACAACTATTACCAATTTTTAGCTTTCCGTTGGCGACTATTAGTCATAGTTCGTAAAATTTAACGAACGCGCTTCGAGCACTCTTCTTTGTACTTTTACTCGTTTATGTGCAACCTAATGCAACCGTTACGCTGAATTTTAAGTAACTGCTTAATGACGTAACTCTACCGTAAAAAATATACTAAAATATCGACGAAGCTTACAGTAGCATCAAAAGATTAAAATCTAACTAATTTCCTTTTTCTGAATCGATTTGTGATATAACGAGATTCGAAAAATATAACGAAAAATTACTCCTTAAAAGAGAAATCAAGAGAAGGCAAGGATATTTCCATCATTTTTGTAAAAAAATTTCTGTCGTATCGCTTTGAAATTGTAATCAACAAATTTTATCAGAATATTCCCGCGAGTGACTTTTTATAGTAACGACGATACGTTCGTCGTTCTTTTTCACAATACGTAAGATTTTCGCGCGATCAGTTCAGGGAAAAGCGTTAAAAAAATTCCGCGCGATCGCGCTAACGAGCCGACGCTTTCTCGATTCATTCTCGACGGTTCTGCCGGAAATCTCATCCCCGCGGCGAGTTTCACTTTTGCAAAATTTCCCTTTTCGCGCTACCAACGCGGCCAACCAAACGAGCTCGATGTAAGAAACCAAGAAGATCGAGCGGGACAGAACATCGTTACGTGAACATCTCTTTCGCTCGACGAACGGACACCGAGAAACGATTCGCCGTCGAAGAAGAGTCACGTATACCTATTTATTTTCACATTCGCGTAACAACTCGACGATTTTCACAAGTTATTTCCTGCAAACTATACCGCGGTATTATGGCGATACAAATATTAAAAGCTTGTTGTTATCAGCAAGGTTTCTAATTTCGAAGAAAAACATCATGGAAAGTCAAGTATAATATTTAAATTGGCATTAATATGAAATTTAATACGTATCAAAGAAGGTATCGATAGAGTTATTTTTACTAGAGTTTACTACAGCCTCGTTCCTAGATTCTACAATTTTATGAAAAAGGTGAATCTCTAGAATAATATTAAATGTTAGTATTATTGAACGTTTGATGGTATTAATAATAATTTAATAGTAGTCTAAATATGAATTTCCCACAAACTTAAAACGCTCGCAAGAGACGTGTAAATAGAATGCAGGAAAGAAACTCTAGAACACCGATGAAACTAATTCCACAAACGTGAAAAGTATCGAATGCGAATGATACGTATAAGATTTCAACGGTATCCAGTGATAAATAACTAATTTATATCGTAACTAACGTTAAATCAATCACGAAGCAACTGGTTATGGTATGTCGAGAAATCTTTTAATCACAGGATACGAAAGATAAGGAAAAAAGAGGACGAAACGTAGGAACGTCGGAGGCCAGTTCCGGGCGGCGTACTTTCGATCCCGAGTAAATCTTAATCGTTTCGTGGTGCAATTAAAGAGGCTCGTATATACGTGCTCAAGAAAGCATTACTTTCTCCACGGCTGCTGCGTCATATGGACACACGGATATACATGTATATTCCGCTGGTCCACGTACGCGCGTCTAGAAACGTTGCCGAGTTTCCTTCGAGTCTGATATCGGTCGTAGTTCCCGTAGAACATAAAGTATTCTTTTTTATTTTTAATTCGATCTTCTAAGCATTATCGCCGATGATCGATCACGGGTGTCATTGATATCGGAACATGACGATTCTCCGGTGAATTGGAATAATTTGAAACTCGGTAATTGGTTATCGGTACGCGATAAAAAAGAGTCTTACAAAGTTAAAAGTTATTTATGCGAAGGCGAGGGTTTGTGCAAACATAGTATAACACTTTCTATGGCCATACGCCGTAGTTGCTGATACTTATGGCCGACAATGTACATAAAAATGAAATTTCCTCTAAATCGTAGCAACTTTGCCGCAGAATAATAACGAAATAACTTATTTTCAACATTTCTGTTCTCACGTTAATCGGTATTTCTGTCGATTCGAAGTTTCACGCGTTTACCTAACGCGATAAAAGAAATCAGATAGAAGTATAAATGAAATTGTCCATCGATGCGGAAAAATTTAATTTTTAACCGGGGAAAGGAGGCACACGAGAGCGCGCACAGGTAACACCGATTTAATTAACGCTGAAACGTAAATACGAACGATAAATAATAGACAACATCGGTTCTCGGAATAACTAACGACCGCGTCAGCGATTGTTTCGTCCTTTCGGTTATGTAAACTGTTATGCTACACGGGAACCGGGAATTACAAAGAACACATAACCGTATATGAAAGTGTGCAAGCGGTTGGTCTTATTAGATAAGCGGACGAGTGGCTAACTTTTGTGAAAGTGAAAAAAATCGCGACGATTCTGCCATGCGTGAATTATAGCTGCACACGTTGCCATCGACTTCTTCCTGCATCGAGATCTCGCGCGCTTCCGGTTTTCTATCGAGCGCTGCGATAATAGAAGGAGAATGTGTTCGTCCTCTTCTTTCGCTTTCTTTTTCTTTCGCTTCCTTTCAGAGTTTCACGTCGCAATTACCATTAGTGAAATAAAAAAATTTATTCGATTTATTTATTCTTCCTTTTCTATGATAAGTGTATATACAATATATATACATGTTTTCATCCTTGCCTCGTGGTAATTGAATTACGCTTTGCTATAGCAGAACACGTTGATGAATTACGATATGCTTTAAAGCACTGCCATTAGAGCGAGTAATAGAAGTAGTCTAAAAAAGGAGCAGCTCTATGTAATGTGCCTAAGTTATTCGCTTTATGCACGGTTCGTGTAACTATTATATCACGAGAGTACATGAATTCATGATTACCTAAGATTTTCGTGTATCACGTTAACGACTGTTACGTCGTTCTTGTAATTATTCAAAATGACATCGATATTTTATCTTATCCATGCCCCGTTCCGATCCTTCGATTATTAAATTTGAAATATATTATTGTGTACACAGTATCGTTACTACCGCTCTATTAGAGATAGCAAGACATATTTCTTACGCACGGTATTTTATAACACGTGGAACATATTCCATCGATGTGGAGGAATATAGAAACAATCGATTTCATTTATTTCAATCTGTTTTAATTTTTCAGAAATTTCAAGAAATCAGTTAATGTATCATTAATGTTAATGTTAAAATAAGATAAGTATGCATTTCAATTGATGCATTGCCGATATAGAAAGATGACTGTGTTACCATACCGAGGAATACATTTAAATACGAAATACACGGTACATTCGTTGAAATAAACGAATCGAAGTAAAACCGTGCGAAATTTTCCCATCGTTGTTAGAAATCTACCCAAGAATCTGTAATTATTCCAATTTACTGTAAAAATAATCATCACAAGTCCGTATTTCGAACGCGAAGCGAGTTTCCAACTACAGACTGCCAGCTTACACCATCCGATCTCACTTCGCGTTATCCAAACAATCGTTACAGAGCTTTGACATCTTTTGCCTTGCAAATTACAAAAGAAAAAATTTCGAGAACGTATGTGATCGCTAGTCGGTGCACGAGTTGCTTGCACGGTTATTTACGAATCCCATATTTATTTCAGTAGAACAGAGTCCCGTAGTTTCTCGACTGAATTGCGGTGAAAGCAAGAGCGTGTTACGAACTGCAGCTTTCGACGAAGAACGATCGTCGAACCGGCGCGTTTAGATCGCGTTTATCGCTCGTCTACGAGGACAAATAAAATCTTCGTCCTCCCTCGTTCGTAATTGTCGTTTCAAACTCCGTTCGTGACTCTCGAACCACGTTATACCGTGACAGTTTCGCTCGAGGAAACGAGTGAAAAACGTCTCGCGAATACCGGAAGAACACGAAGAAATATTACGAGTGCCGGATACCGGAAATCACTTCTCGGTTTCCAGACGGCGCGTTCACTCTCACTCAGCCAGGATTAACTTCGTGAAAACGTACACGAGCGAAATTTGTTCGTTTTTCTATCGGTGGATCGCGTGGCCACGCTCGAACGCGATTAATGAATCTTTCATGGGGTGTTTGGTTAACCATGTTGGGAATTACAAGGTTTATTTTACAAACGCTGGACGGTAGAAAGTGCGAGCGGAATGTAAACGTGTGAACTTTCAAACGACAGATATAAACACGTACTTGAAAATACCTGTTAAATTCTATTACCACTAAATTCTACAAAGATAGCACCTAGACGCTAATTTACTAGCGATAAAGTAGCCGGGCATCGCGACAGCCTAATATCAACTACCCTTCCAATTCGAAATTTCGAAATTTTGAGTATTAAATTTTAATTAATTCGCACTGACGTTCAAATTCTACAAACACTCGGAGAACCAATTTATAAATCCGCGATAAGATGTTCGAGATCTACGACAAACCGAAAAGATACCAAAAAAGATACAAAAAAGATACCAAGCAAAGTCAAAAGCAAAACATATTTCAAAGAAGGTCCATTAGGAAAGAAAATGTGCCTCCCAGAGTACTCGACAAAGGTTCGAACAAGCAAAACGACGTCCATTGTGACGGTGAAAATTGAAACAGGGCAATGTTCTCCAAACTCCATGGACAACAGGAGAAAAGAGTGGAAGGGGTTGAACCGATGAAAGGAGAATATCCAGGAGTTTCCGTGACGGGGAGATCTGAATCGCGTAAATTCAGAGGCTGAAAGCCATTATCGAGTTTCCCCCGCGGCATCCGCGTTGGTCCCTGGGCTTCGCAGGTTCGTTCGTTCGTTCGTAGAAGCCGGGGGTGGAGCCCCTTTTATCCAATGCCGCGGGTGTTGGGGGCGCGACTGTGAAGCGAAGGCAATTATCGTAGCGAAACTTGAACGTTGCCGGCTTCGAGGCTGGCCGACGACGCGACCGAACTCCGGTACCGGGAGTGGAGTGTTTGGCGTCTGATACGACGGGTCAGGTCCCGGGGGATTCTCAGCGACTCAAACGGGACTATCCCGCCGCTCTCTCATCGCAGTTAATTACGGAGTCCTCCTCGTTCTCCTTCTACTCCATTTCCCATAGCTCGCTCAGCCCTTCCACGCTCCGTTTCCCTTCGCTCCTTGAGCATCCGAATCACCATTCGAAAACTTTCTTCGGGTTCTTCAACATTCATCTTTCCGTATCTTCTTTATTTCGATTTTCCTCGTATAATTGAAGTGGGAAACCGTTTAATTGATTCTAAATTCAAGTGGATAGACGTTTGTTCCGGCAGGTAGAATTTTCTTTAATGAATTATTATTAATTATTATACGAAGCTCTTAAATTTTACTCTGAAGCTTAAAACTGGTAGTTTGAATTGCTAATTACAATTCCAACACATTCATCTTTAAACGTTTCAATTAAACCTTCGATCGTTAAAAACAAACGGAGCATAAAATGAAGGTACTTGGAACAAAATGGAATATATTAAATTCCTCAGAATAAAAACGAAACCTATTTTCTCTGGCGCTAAATGCTAAGTTCGAATTTAAACTATAGAATTCGATTTAGTTTGCAATATAATCTAAACATTTACTTTTGCTCAATACGACCTATCTTCGACGATACCAGCCAAAGATAAAAAAGAAAAAAAAAAGGAAAGTGGAAACGATTCCAACAAAATGCAACATCTCTAAATCGAGTTGGAACACACAGGTGCATATGCGTGGGCGCGTGCGCGCGCGTGTAAGTGGCTTCAACAATCAACGGACGACAGAGGATCCCCCATGGGAATCCGAGCGAGCGAATCGTAGCGGGATTGAACGCTTGAAATGGAATAATATCCAATAATCTGGCAGCTGAGAGAACGGGATAAAAAGGGACGTTTTATCGGAACATCGCAGTAACCGAGCGAGTTCCCGAACCATTTCCGGCTCGGCTCGCTTTCTGTCTGTCCCCCGGCCACCGGGCGAAATTAATTATTGATTTCGGATACAGGCATTCACAGCCCCGGAGAGCTTTTAATCGAAAACGAACCAACCGTCCCGTTCGTTTCCGTTCGACGTGAATTCAGCGATTCGCCCTAGGAGAGTATGTGCTACGCCATCATCGCCACTCTTCTTTTAACGATGATGGCTACTTCAGAGATAAAATGGGAATATACGAAGAAGGATTTGCTTGTATATGCTCTTTTTGTATATCTAATTTTTTCATTAATTTCTTTCCTTCTTTTTAATTATATATAATACATCTGAATATCTAATTTCGCTTTTTAAAATAATTTGCTAATTTGTAATGTTTGGTATTTGTATAATATTTATTGATTGAACGTTGGTGGTTTTGAAATAGATCTTAGAAATTTGTGTAGCTTTACGAGTTGTGTTGTGAATCATTCTAATTACACCATGGACAAATTTTTACGTTTCAACTCTGTTATATGTATTTAATAACAGATGAAATATGATATCCTGAAATATGAAATGTCCTAAATCTCTGTAGCATTGTTTTTAAAATTGATTGATCGTGATTAGATTTAATCGTGTCCGTTATAAAACGTTTTTAAAATATCGTGCACCTGCATCTATGCAACCGATGCAAGATGTCTGTTTTAAGATTTAAAAATAATCTATTACTGCGCTATTGTCAATGTAAAAGTTTGATTGCATATTTTACGAAAGTAATGAATATTATCTCTTTGATGAAATTAATTAATTAATTAATGTGTAAACACAGATGTGCAATCCGAAAATTAAAATCAAAACTTTCGCACAAAGGTATAAAATATCATAAATACATATAGCTTCGAAATAAAAGATCATGCGACTGAAATCTACAAAAATATTTTATTATGTGTTACCTTGTAAGGATAGAAACGTAATTCGAGGATAGGAGGTTACAAACACCAAAATACATGCTGCGATCTTTTCACCCAACGGTGGATAGAGACGGAAGGGATGGAAATGTACCAGAGGTATTGGATTTTGACCGCAATGAATCTTCTCTTGATGACGGCAAATTCTCAATTAACTAAATTAGGAGGTGAGAAAGAAAAATCGTGTGAGTCGCTTTGTTATACGAAGATGAGGATATGTAAAGGATAGTTATAAAAAGAATTATCTTTTATGCGATTATATTAACGTTAGTAATATTTAAACTTAATTAAGACGTGTTAAGACATTAACAAATGCACGAACACAAAAATAATTAGGAAATGGTATCAAGGAATCTTCGATATAAGATTAAAGATATAATATATAATTTACTATTTTTGCAGGTGATTTGAAAAAAGGTGAAAATACAAAATCTTTCATCGTGTAGAAATTCCATATTCTTTAAATGAAAAATGTATGTATAATTTTCAGACATACAACTCCCGCGTAACTCATATCCGCTATATGTAAATATACTTATTCATGTCAATAAAATTAACATGTCTTAAGTGCCCTAAATTTCTAAGCGATATCTGTAATCACCTCCTGCAATTCAGCTTTTGTGAACATATGAAACAGTTGCTCGGGAGTCATTGTCATTACTTCTATATTGTTATCGCTCAGTTTCTCTTCCATAACTTGCTTCAATATAACCAAAGCTGCCTTTATCGCTTCTTTAAGTGTCATAGACTGTAACAATACCGTAAAATGTTGAAAGGCTATTCGCGGAAAAACCAAAACATTTATACAAATATAAATATCTTACCTTATGATACACTTCTTGGAGGTTCTGTTGCGCACCTTCGCTTCCAGATCCAATAGCTTTGGCATCAAATTGTACAAAGGTGCCAGAAGGATCCATATGATACAACTGAGGCCCTTTTTCATCGATACCAGCGAACAACATTGCTACGCCAAATGGTCTCGACATGGCACTACCATCGTCGTCACTGTCTCCAAATTGTATAGCTAGGTTAGATACAGCCTGAGCCGTTGACTCCACAGACATTCTTTCGTTGTAGACGAACCAATGATTTTGACATTCTACTCTAGCACGATCGATCATAGTCCTAGAGTCAGCTATTAAGCCGGATGCGGCGCATCCAATATGCTTATCAATTTCTACGATCTTTTCCACGGTTGTGGGTTCCATTAAACTGGAAGTGATACGTTTCTCCACAACTAAAACAACACCCTCTGATGTTGCGATTCCAATGGCAGTGGAACCAAGTTTTATAGCTTCTATGGCATATTCAACTTGGAATAACCTCCCTTCTGGAGAGAAGGTATTAACACCATGGTCGTATTCAGAACGTGTTAAAAACATCTGAAAATAAAAATACATACGTTGTTAAGGTACACAGTGGATTAAATTTTCTGAAGTATAAAGATAACAAGATTGTATTTAAATCGAAACTTTGAGGTTATGACTTGATAAATTTGGTATCAATGCATTTAATATTATTTTAAAGATGATATATAAAAATGGTATCTTTCAAATATAATTACGGTAAATTTGCTATTCCTTAGTTAATTCAATAATGACTACAATAATTATAAAAAGTCTAAATAGAATGTGGTTAGCTCGGAATGACATAGCAAAACTAATAGATTTAGAACATGAATATAGAAACAGACAAAATGTAAGACCCACTTAAAGTTAATTACTTTTCAAGAGTTAAGAAGACTTACCTTCGAGATAGCTTTATTATTTCAATAAAAATTGCTTAACAATAAGTTTAAGCCGACTGTCACAAACGCTAGTCACGGAGAGACTTGAATTTGATGGCGGGGATAAATACAGACGCGTATCATTAATTCTCGGAACCCTAATGTTAAAGCACAATTTATTCCTAACTTCAGAGTACAGAAATATTTTCAAAATCAAGATATTTAAAATTGATTACATTTATCGCTCAATTTAGGCAATTATAACACAAAAATTGTAATATGCAAATAATGCTTCAACTTTTTAAGAGCATGAACAAAAATAATGTAATACGATTTGAACCAAGTCACTAGTTTACGCAACGTTAGTCAAAATATATTCACAAATTTCAAATAATATTGATCATATTCAGAATTATATACCATTAATCATTAAAAATACGTTCTACCTTTTTGTTATATCTAATTTTGTAAAATTATTTTCTATATTGAACTTTTATAAATATATTTTCTAGCATCTATTTAAAGATGGCTCCTGTAACATGCTCATTTGAGGTTGTGTCATCAGATTATTCTATACAATATCAGATTGTATACAATACAAATAAAAAAACGAACAATCATTCTTCGTAAAATAAATAACGTTACAAATAAGGATTGACATAATGAACGGCAGAGATATTCATTTATTACAGAAATTGAATTCTGCCTTTGCTGAAGAAAATTGGGACGAGTTATTGAATCTTCTCAATCCAAAAATATTTAGATCTTTTGAATCGAAGTATGATTTAAAAAATAGTACGATACGTAACAAAACGTTGTTAGACAGTGAATATAACAGATCGTTAAATTTCAGGGAATTAATTGCCTTTCCAGTCTTGGCAAAAGTAGCACAAATTCTTACAACCGAAGACTCTGTCGTCCCAAACGATATAAAGATTGGTTGCTTAAAATGCCTAGGAAATTCTTGTTTTAATAGTTATGTACACCAACAATATATTTCAACTACAATCGAGCGAGGGACATACAGTCACGATTTATATCGCGTTCTAGCAAGTAACGAAAATTTAGAAGAGATTGAGAATTCTAGCTCTTATCCATTCGATTCTCATTTTCCTTACGAGGGTGTTGTAGGATGGACATCGAACGTTATTACAGCATTTCACTGTAAATTCGATAGCGATCTGTCGGATGAAAAGTTGGAAATTTTAAGATTAAGTATCCAGTTCCTATGTAATCTGTTTACATTTGCGTGTAAAGATAGTAACTTTCCAGATCAATATAATATACTACAATTTTTATACAATACTGATTTAAAGGATGTAATAATGTAAGTACTGTTAATATGAATCTATATTGTTAATATATTCTGTTGAATTATTTTGTTTTAATCAGGATAAGTATTCGAGTACTATAGATTTTTTATTTACTTATAGAACTATGACACATTCTAAACATATCCCAATTGTTAGAGCTTCGTGTGCATTTGTACATAATGCTTTGAAGGAATTTGAAGGAAAAACTTTCTTGGAAGGAGAAAAAAAACGTTTATGTTCACAATTATTGAAAGCAACTAAAGAAGGTTTTGAAAGTGCAAAGGAGGCCCTGATGCTTTTATTATTTGAAAAGGACATACTGCGAAGCGTGTACTGCGATATGACTATCGAAAATAAATTATGTTTATTAGAAATAATTTATAACGAACTCTCAAATTCAATGCACAAATTTGGAAACGAATACAAATTTACGAAGGATGCGATTGAATTTTTAATTAAAAGATTTTGTAGAAAAAGTGATTTGATTTTGAAGACAGTGGATACATGTTTAGATGAAATAGAACCTACGGAAATTGTCATTCTTCTTGATATTCTTGGAGCCTTGACTTCAAGATCTTGCGAAGAATGTAGTTTTCTAAAGGATCAGAAGAGCTTGCTTATTAATTGTAGCTGTAAGTATATTTGTTTATAGCGTAATTTTTTTATAGCATAAAAATATTCGATTCTACATTTTTTACAGATCTATTAAAGTCCATTCAAACGATTGGAAAACTATCAGATAATTATTTCACGCCGCTACAAAAGTTGAGCGACGTAGCTTCAGCGATACAAGGGTCAACAACGAAAAGTGATTTACAAAGTCATCCTACATTTGGTTTTAAAGCTGGTTTAATAAGGATTATTGGAAATATGTCATACAGAAATAAGGAATATCAAGATCTTGTAAGTGTATATTAATTCTTATTTTCTACTCGTTTGTCCTTTCTAAAATATATTTTGAACAAAATCTATTTTTCGTGAATGAAAATTTTAATCTCTATATATTCAAATTTGAACTGAATACATTTTGTCGTTGACAATATCAAGGCACCATCAGTTGATAATACAAACAGTACGTTTGCCCTCGAATGTTTGCCTGGAAAGTAGCGCCTTAGAACCCTGTACGGTGGCAATCGCAACTGCATCACGTACTACAAAGAATAAACTACGAAAATTCCCCGTTGTATCGTACGAAAAGCGGTAGAATTTTTTTTCAATCAGTCATTGATCTATTAATTTTTACAATGATTTCTTGCGTGCTCTAACCTTCAACCCCGATCGATCATTTGTCAAGTGCACCCGCGTACAAAGACCTTTTGCATCGTAGATCATCTTCTGACACGCGAAACGAAAAACAAGGAAAAACAAAAGACAGCGAAGTGTAGGGTAGAGCGTAGATGAATATTACAAACCTTGCGCTCGAAACGACTCTCTGGTTGCTCGGTTTTTATTCAGCCCCTTTATGCGTGCACGGGCATTCGCGAGTGATCGTTATTGCTTCTTATTGATTTCATCTCTGGCGCGCAAGAGACGGGATACAAAAGAAACGAGAACGGATCCCGCGTGGCGCGCACTGTTCACCGAACAAAGGAAAATTAAGTATCCTGTCCGAGTCGAAGACGTGGCAATTTAGCCAACATCGGATCCCGCGTTAATATATTAGCAAGATCGAAGCCATGGCCGCTGTTTTGCCGCGTACGAATCGTTTTATCGATACGCATGCGATCGATACCACGCAGGAGTGCGAATCGAGACAGACCTCGATTTCTTCCTTTCTTCTCTTTTCGTTCCTCGCTTCTTCTTCGCCTTTACTATTTCTGTATCCGTTTTTTTCAGTGTTTGGATGGTGGAAAGGTGTCGAAGGCGATCGTGTTCTTAAATTTCGTTCGGAAAACACGCGCACTCCGGTATTTCTATCCTTCTTAAGTAATTTTAAAATGTGCATATCCTCGTCACGATTGCTCGTAAAATACGACGTTCTCCCGCGTTATGAGGTTAATATACAAACCGGCGGTGACTTTCGAGCTATTCCGTTGAAACGAGCGTGGTTCGTAATGAAAAATGTGTGTATGTGTGTACGCGTATCTGTTTGCTGATGGCCATCGCAAGGTGCTCCTTGAGTAAGTAGGGGGTATTACGTTTGAAAAAATTCTCGCGAAGACCTTCTTCGTCTTCTTCAGCTTCAATTTCCAATGATGATTCGTATACGATGGTTCGAGGTGTATGGATTTAGGTACTCGTCGATAAAATGTATCGTCGCTCCGACATGCGATTCAATTACGTTCCATTCGATTTTCAATGGCGGCTCATTTTTCACGAACGAGAGTCCATGAACGCGGCCTATGGTCTGTAATGTATCGAGCCGTGCAAAAATAATATTTTTATGGCTGCGCGAATGGCGAATGCGATAAATCAGAGTCCACGCCGTTGCTATAAAAATAAATTAACGTCCGCGATGCTGTGACGATGTAATACCTTTTGAGTAACATGGCTGATCCTTTTATGGCATCGCAGGGGCTTTATCGAACTCGAATTGAAAAAGGAAATTTTAAATTTCGATTCTTTAATTCTCTATTCAAATTTAAATTTGAATTCTAAATTAATCTATATCATACGAGAAGCTTTAAACCACGATTAATCGTTGCTTCGTCATTTACGCTAATTAATATTAGCTATTGTTTCGGTCAATATCTACTAACTGTATATATAGTTTTACACGCTTGCAATAATTCGGAAGTATGACGATAGCGTACTTTGTACTTACCAAGCGACGATTTACAATTTTATGCAGAGTCTCGTAGTTTTATACACGATACCATAAGCATACATAGGTTTACACACGCGTGTTCTCAACGATGTTGAACGTTTTCAGCTTCGAGAAATGGACGTCGTACCTCTGCTTCTGGACTGCTGCAATATAGACGCGAGAAATCCACGTAAGTAATCCAGACTCGTTTCCTTTGAGCTTCGCGATCCTTTCGTTTATTGTGATTCGCGTGAATCCTCGATGATATTCCGACACGCTAATTAATGCCTGTGTTAAATTTTACACGCGCAGTTATAATGCAATGGACGATCCTTGCGCTGCGGAATTTATGCGAGGATAATCCGGCGAATCAAGAGATCATCCGGAATTGCAACAGAGTCGGCGTCGTGGAGAGCAGCGTGCTGCAGGAAATGGGTGTCGCGCTGCACGAGGACGAGGAAGGAAAGAAAATTGGAATCGTGCCCTTGCCGCGTGAACGAAAATAACAGACTTTATCGAAGATCTTTCACACGGAGCCTCTTTGGCGAAGTCTCTCTTCGTTTTTATCCATTGGCTCGAAAGAGGTATGATAAAGGACACGTATCGATCATATTTTTAGCTCTTTAGAATATTGTCGAATTCGATGTTTGTTTTCTTCGTATTTTGATCGGGTCGTGAAAATATGCTGTTAGAATTTTGAATGAAATTTAACGAATCCGTAGGACTAGAATTTTCATATTAAATATATAGCAATTATATAGCGATAGGTAGTATACGTGTATATACATAGATTTTTTACTCATTTTTGACTAATTTTTTTTAATAACGTATAAAGCAAGACGTAACGTATTGATGTCTACAATTTAGACAATCGCTGAAAACATTTTTACTACAATCTATTTTACTACAATCTAGTTCTGCTATAAAGAATATACTTTTTTATTACAACAAAAAGAATATGAAACTTGCTTTCGTATTTTAAAGTTTCTCCATCTGCCCATTCTTACCCGCCATAGAAATCCGGCGATTTTCTTTCGATTCGTTTCGCCCTATTGCATAAATTGAGATGGCAATTTCTATTGCCTCGCCCTACATAAAAATGTAGTATGAAATAAAACGAAAGAAGCTAGAAAAGAATACGATAAAAAATCAGGAAGGACAAACTTAATTTTTAACGATACTTTTAATTCAGTTTCGAATTGGAGGAACAGCGGTTTCCTTTGGCACGGCCGCGGCACGGCAGTCGCTTTCCACGATCTCGACCGTCCATACGGATGTATAATCACGCAACTCGTGTTAATTATATTACTATTTACCAGTTTGTGTATCGATAGCTCACCGGATAAGGTATCGGTGATCTCTTTATCGGGAGTTAGACCGCAATAATTATTCGAGAGTTAGGCGACTGCAAACGTATCTTTCGTAGCGTGTGTCGACTGTAAAATAAGCCTACAATTATAGTACATGATAGGTACCATTACATGAAATATGATATCGTATTGCGTAAGGAGACATTATATCTGCATTCGCGGCCGGCTGATTTACGGTACGATAAAAGCTGCCACGGGTTCACGGTCTATTAGCAGTTACTAATGCAGCTGTACGACTGTACGTCCGCGTCTGTCATTGCGAATTCGTTTACGAACGAACGTTTATTAGCCATCGTTGAGTATCGATAACATCTTACTATCGTTCAAGTTTATTATTACGTTTGCCGGCGTCTCTAGAAAAGTGGAAATCCGTGATTTCGTTAAATGGTTGTCTTACTACTTTGCTATCCTTATGATTCGCCGTGTGCAGATGTCTCGCTACTATTTAAGTTTACTATTATCCTCGCCATTATCTTTAGGAAGATGGGAAAATTTCAACTGTGTTATCGTATATTTCCTTTTATGGTCGTTTATATCTTTTCGCGATTTCTCTCTTCCCTGGGAATCGTTAATTGCTTGTCTACTCTGAAGCGTGTAACGCCAATGGAGAACGACGCTGTCAATCTATAAATATCAGCAAATATCAGCGAAATATCAGCAACGTTGCGAACTGTACCTGCCAAGATTCAAATAGAAATCGGCGGGTAATTAGATCGATATCACGATCGAAATTCGTTCAACGTGAGTCACAGTTGTATAAACGTTTTACAAAATGTAATGATACGTTTCTATCAATATACGCGGACGTGATTCACGATCTAATCGACTGTAACCAACTGTTTGCTGATTTATAATCTATTGTCTGTAAAGAACTGCATGGCATTCCTTCATTTTCGTTTTTCGTTATTATTCGTTATCGAGTTACCGTACGTTTGTTATCCGAGTTACTCGAATAATCGAAGTTTCGAGCGATGGAACGCGACAAAAGTAGCACATCGAAAGATCATAAACTATCATACACGAGATCATAGAAAAAAGATCACGAAAAAATCGTGAATTTCTGCCGCAATTATGTTCGAGGTAAATTTTTTAGCAATTTATCGCAAGAATGACTGAAAATGATATTATAAAGGAGATAGTAGACCTCTCTAAATATCGCAGAGGCAAATCTTCAATGTCTAACGTTCGTGTTATTTAAGTTTAACGCAGTTTTTGTAGGATACAAAGATAATGGGAAAAATGCAGGAGAAGAGGACGAAAAAGACGCTTTGCAGGAAAATTATCTGAACGATAATGGAACGTTTGTTCATCGAGTATTCTAAATTAACACAGTTATTTATAAAACGCTTCGTTTCGTCGAACAACGGTTCAAAGAGTCGGGGAGAGAGAAATTACGAAAAGGAAAAAAGGACTGTGGCGTGGACACCGCAGAAGCGGGTTTGCACGATCCGCGGGAGATTGCTTTTAATTTAAATATCAAACGATCCTGGACGATTAATCTCGCGCGGTTATAATGGCCGGCAATTAACGCGAAATTTATCAGCTAATTATACGCAGGGTTAATCTCGCCGTGGTAATGATACCTTTATAAAGGCGAAACGACAAAGTAGAAGGAGAGAAAAAGACAGGAAAGAGCAAAAGAAAGGGTGTATATCTGCGTTAGAGCGCGTTTTCGCGACTCAAAGTCTGTCAATATTTATCAGTCAAACATAGAATATCATTTTTCTGGAAAACGAAACCTAATATAGATAAATCTCATTCTGTGTTCTTCATTTATTTTTTCACGTAGAATCAGTCTGGTCGTAGTTGTGCCAGTAGTTACAGAATCGTATATTCCGTATATCGTAATGATCTCAACCATTATAATCGAGATGTAGTCTGCAGTTACGAACATAATTCGTCATAAAAGAGGCGGAAGGATTTTTCGTTCGAGGCAAATTTCTGTGTCTTACGATAAGAGGTTCGGTAATATAGAAGCCATTTTCTATGCACTTGAAGGCATAAAACAAGTAATCGTAACGTGGTTGGTATCGACCATTTTCGTTCGGGGTTAATCTTTATCGATTAATATTCATAGATTCCGATAGCCGATGCGTGAAAGCACGTGGATGAGATCGGTATCGAATTCGTGATTCCACGCAGCTTCTTGATCGATCGATATTTCGATCGTTAAGTTCCGAATTCCTTGGTTTAAGGATTCATGTTGAAACAATTGTCTTTTCGATAAATTTAACGCCTTATCTACAAACAATGAGATATTTTGTGTTTTCGATTTTGATATTTATCGAGGAAATCTTATTTAACGTGGTTTCGATGTTAACGAGATAAACAAGATGAAGTCATTTACGATTTATCGACAAATGATAAAATTTATTAATAAACGATAAAATTGAAAGGAAGAATCTGTAGGTTAAATGAAAGTTTCGCAGAATATTACACGGATTTAACGATTGTATCTTCAGACTTTTATTTTTAGGCTGCTTGTGTGCTACGATAAAAAAAGTCTATCAGAATATAGAAACCTCGTTCAAAAGCACGTTAGCGTAGTACTCGTGTCTCGTCCGTTCGATTTTCTTAAACGGACGAAACGTTCGAAGAACGTACGATATCTCGTAATTCGAGCGAACAGTCGAGAACAAATTTTACCTTGGCGTAAATTGTTCTTTACGATTAGAAATATTATTGCAACGACTGGCGCAATTATCCATGGTTTCGATACGAAGGCAGAACGCGGTGATGGAAATTGCATGTTGGTATAATCGGCGATTCAATTAGTTAGGCGAGCGGAAATCGAGTGGAGCGCGAAAAACAAGCGACGCAAGTAGGGTGTAAACAGGCAGAAAAGTAAATCGGCTAGCATGTATTAATAGAGGCCGCGAATTGAAGCTATGTCGGTGCCTAATAAGTCGTGGATCCCCTTTTAAACGATCTCTGCCTCGAACGGACCTGTGCGCCTACGCGAAACTTCTCTGAAAGAGCCGACAGGCCGATATATTTCCCGTGCCCTCGTATGCCTTGCGTACATCGATCGTGTACGAAAGAGTTACATCGTTATACAGGGTGATACCTAATCGTGCGCCGATTCTACCAAAGACAGATTCGCGATTTTTGGCGAAAACGAGAAATTAATACTAAATCAGTGTCAATCAAGATCTTCGTTATCGTTACCTAACGATCTAAAAAATACTTTCTTCTCAAACTCGAAGAACGGAGAAACGAAGAAAACTTTGTTTTTCGCGGTGTGACGACTCCGAAAAGACGAGTCGTCGGCCCATCGAGGACGATCGCGGCTCGCTTCTGCTTAAATTTTAAGCGACGGTTTCCTCGTTCCAAATATCCGAGCTTTTACGGTCCATAAAGGGACGAGGGCTGCTTTTAGTGGCTATTACACGAATCCCCGGGTCGGCGCAACATTTATGGCTCATGCACCGTGTGCGGCAGTCGTTAAAACACATTTCGTGGGACCATGCGAGAGCCTGAACGCGAGTTCTGTGTTTACGTTCACGATTAGACGCACGACATTTCTTCGCCAGCTTTTCTTCACCAGGATCTTAGCGGAGGACGATCCGCGTCTAGGAGGCGAATGCGAACACACTTTAGCGGAATGTTTTACGGCGGTTCAACGCTGACCGTCCGTAGAACTCGCCTTGGTAAAATATACAACGTTCTTTTTATTCCTTCACCGAGATCTTGGTAGTTTGTTTAATGGAAACTTCTCCGACAGGGTTACATGGGATTTGTTAATTCCCCGGGGTTCGTGTTATATGGCCTTTTAATGGAATTCTTAAATTTGATTTTACAGCCTCGGTTCTAACGTTGCAGCGTGTTCAAATAATTCTGTATCTAAGGGACAGATTGATATTCACGATTCTTCGTCTCAAGCGCGTCATAGGGTTTTTCTTCGAACTGTCAAAATCTTTCCGCTTGTTGAAACAAGGGAGAAATTGCGACGTAAAAATCGTGACAGTCGATTGCTTTTGTTGCCAAGTGATCAAATCTATTTGGCGAACAGTCCAACTTTGCGTAAACAATTCAATTTTCGATCGGTCGGAACGCCGATAGAAAACTGGTTAGGATATCGATCGGGGCCCCTCTGTGAATTGTTTTGCATAACTAAATCGTCGCGAGGGAACCGGTGTCCAAATTAGAAAAACGAAAACCGTTCCGTTCGAATAATTACGAAGCGATCTAACTGGTATCGAATCACTTTGCGA